TTGCAGTGTAGATGCCCAGGCTTGGTCAGGAGACCAGGCTGAGACCCTTTGAGAAACATCTGTCACGGATTATCTAGACGGTGCTTGGTGCCGTGAGAGCAAGGACTGAACTTGATGACCTCTTGAGGTCCCTTCCAGTTCTAGCGTTCCATGATTCCAGCCTAAGCCTGAGCATTTACGCTATAATTTTCAGCCCCACAACCCAACTCCTATGAGCCTGTGTTAGCAGACCCATTTTAGTGCAGTGTAAATGTACTCTGTGTAGAGCATCCTAAATTTCCATTGTTGGAGTGCCTAGCCAGTGCTACGGTATCCCCACGAGGCAACACATTCTGTTTCTTTTAGGAAGCTCCCAACCACCACACCCCCACCTCCTCTGCAAACATCTTTTGGTCTCTCTTGTCCCATCCTTCCAAGAACAAGCACGCTTAGCCCCGCCGGGTAGGGGAGGATGCATCTTTCAGCGCCGCAGCCTGTCAGTTCAGGAGCAATGCTGACATGCTTTGGAGAAAGCTCCACCAGCTCTCCAACGCAAACAGGACAGGGTGACCTCGGGGTGCAACCTGGAGGGCAAGAGAAAGAAAATGGGTGGCGTGGGTCAGAGAACAAAATCAAAATGACAGAACTGATCTGGAGTCGTTTGGGCGTAGAAGAGGAAGAACAAGTTATCCTTGCTGCTCGTGTCCATCAGCAGGTGACAGCAAGTGACTGAACACACATTCCCCAGCTTGCCCTACCATCTAGGGAGGTGAAGAATAGGAAAAAAACACAGGACAGCAGCAGGCAGATCCGAGTAAATTCCCAAATCTTCTGCTCCATGGCAATACCCAATTCCACACAGGCTTCCGGCGTCACAGCCTTCCTCTCCTTTCAGCAGTGTCTCATGGCTCCTTTCTATGGAGATCAGTCGAGTGCGTTAGAGTAGAACGTCAGTGTTCTTGCGCAAGAGTTTTTGCGTTAGAGTATTTGGGGAAGAGAGCGTCTATACTGGCATGTGCCTTTGCGCAAAAGATTTGCTTTTGCTCAAAAGCATCCGTGCCAGTGTAGACGCTCTCTTGCGCAAGAAAGCTCCGATGGCCATTGTATCCATCGGGCTTTCTTGCGCAAGAAATTAACGTTCCTATCTACACTGGCCCTCTTGGGCAAGTATTCTTGCGCAAGAGGTCTTATGCCTGAGCAGGAGCATCAAAGTATTTGCGCAAGAAGCACTGATTTTGTACATTACAATGTCAGTGTTCTTGCGCAAATTCTCATGGCCAGGGTAGACAGGTGGCCTCTTTTGTGCAAAATCTTGCCAGTCTAGATGCACCCCCTTTGAGTGCTTAGAAAGAAAAGTGATAGAAATGTAGCCGTGTTAGTCTGGTGTAGCTGAAACAAAATACAGGACTATGTAGCACTTTAAAGACTAACAGGATGGTTTATTAGATGATGAGCTTTCGTGGGCCAGACCCACAGCTGTGGATCAAATAGAGAAGTGGGTCTGGCCCACGAAAGCTCATCATCTAATAAACCATCCTGTTAGTCTTTAAAGTGCTACATAGTCCTGTATTTTGTTTTAGAAAGAAAAGGTCCTTCTAAGGGCCTACTCCGGTCTCCCCCTTCTCAGCATGCAACAATGGGTCCATATAATACCCTCTCCATGTAGGAATCTAGCAGATCCCTTACAAAATCTCCAAGATCACGTCCAGAGTTTCTATTTTCCAAAGCTAAGCAGTCCCTTTTCCTCAAGTTGTCTGCCACAGGCAAAGTCTTTCCCCCTTCTTACCCCAGCCAGAGGAATACAGAGAAAACGGCACAGGAGAATTCTGTGGTGAGTGGCCAGTCCTCCCTCAAACAATCCAAGGTCCGTGGAGAAGTGGACTGCTCTCTTGTTCGAGAAAGTGGATTTAAAGAACGAGTCCACGAGAAGAACGTTCATAAAACACGTGCATCGAACTAATGCCCAACGAAGACATCAGCCGACTTAGAGAGACGCTACGTGGAGGGAAACAAACTGCAAATGCAGGTGAGTGCTGAGCTAGATGCTTGTATGGTGTATTCCAGAATGATGGATGGAGTGGGATTTAGCATTCACTGAACTGCCTTGGTATCAACGTCTCTAAAAAGCTAAACACATTCTAGCAACAATTGTCTACCCGCTAGGAATAATAATGCTGGGATCACAAGGCTGAGGGTACTTTAGTTAATGAAGGTTTGATGGATTGTAAATCATTAACCATGGCCATTCAGTGGCACGCAGACAGTCAAGAGAACATATTAAAGAAGGGTGGACAAGAGGCTTTCTACGTATCTCTGTGTAGATCTCAGCACAGCTGTAGGACAAATACTTATCTAGTGACACTCCGTGGGAGAGAACGAACAGAGGCAGAACGTAGAATGGTTCTGTTCTCGGATCAAAACGCTTGCAGTTTGATTCAGACCTTGCCACTTTTACCCAGGAAAATCCTCCACTGACATCACTGGGAGAGGTTTCAGTGGATGCTTTGCCTAAATAAGAAAGATAGGATTTGAGCCTATGAGGGTAAGTCAACACTGCAATAAAAACACAGCCCGCCAGGTCTCAGAGCCCAGGCTGTTGACCAAGGCTTGGTGGGCTCGGGCTAAAAATAGTATTGTAGATGTTGACAAGTATCAGAGGGGTAGCCGTGTTAGTCTGGATCTGCATAAACAATGAGGAGTCCTGTGGCACCTTATAGACTAGTGGTCCCCAACACGGTGCCCGCAGGTGCCATGGCGCCCGTGGGGGCATTTGTGTGCGCCCACCAAGTGCTCGGGGCTGGCCTGGCCCCAGGCACGTGGAGCATGCATGGTGCCGGAGCCGGCCCCGGGCGCATGGTGAGCGCCAGCCCCGGGAGTGCCGTGGATTGGCCGCGCGCGCGGCTATGGGGGGGGCTGCCCCTGGGCACGCAAGTGTCCCCGCCCTCTGGCGCCCGGCGGGCGAATGGCCACGCCCCCTGGCGCCCGGCAACCTCAAATGGTTGGGGACCACTGTTATAAACTAACAGATGGATTGGAGCAACAGCCAGAGGCAGCGATCCTCGTGCGAACCCCTCGGCAAGCTGAGCAAAGCTTAGAACAAGGCCTGTCTCTCTAGCTGCTCATATCATTCCAGATTTTGGTACGTGGTGAAGAGAGAGAAGAACAACAAAGGGGGGAGCTCAGCCCAGATCCCCGGGGGAGCACGTCGTCCCCCCACCCCTTTGCCTCGTTGCATTTTGACTTTGTATGCAAACTGAAAATAAAACCGGCCAGTACATTAAATTTGTAACGTTTTATCACCGGGCCCAGGAATTATTCTCCAAATTTCAGTTATGTTGACACACTTCCCAGATTTCTTTTTTCTCCAAATTTCAGTTATGTTGACGCACTCCCCAGACTTCTCTCCAGTACCCTTAAGGGTACTCATACCACTGGTTGAGAAACACTGGTCTGTAAGATGCCACGGGACTTCTCGTTATTGTAGATGTTTGCACTCAAGCTGGAGAATGGGCTCAGACTCCCTTTCCCTGTCCCCCGCAGGTTTGAGAGCCCAAACGTCTACACCACCTTTTTATAGCTCAGCAGCCCAAGTCCCTGCAAGCCCAAGTCAGCCGACCCAGACCTGCTACTGCCATGCCACGGGTCTCTTACCGCAGGGTAGATGGACCTTGAGAAGGTTTCTGTGCACAGGAATTTTGCACGCATCCCTTCAAGTGGGTCATCTCAGACGCACTCGCTCTCACCTTTGCCTGGTGACAGTCAGCATGCCAGATGGAGCGAGTGGGAGCTGGACAACGATACCGTTGATGCTCTGAGCCTGTGATTCTTTGGGGATTCTGAAGAGGAGGAGTGGAGAAAGGGGGAGAGGCTGGTGTGTCTGAACAGACAGCAATGGAGCAGACTCTTCAGTCCTGTCGGAGTCGCCACCCTGGTGACTTTTCAGACACTGTCCCTTGGGGAGACCTTTCCCATGTCTACCTTTATGGAGACGCCCTGTCCCCCCTTCGCTCCTGGCTACGGGGCAGCAGGACATGTTACCAAACAAGAGGAAAGGTCACTTGGATTCCTCCGATCTGCCAGACTGATACATGCACAGTCTCCAGAGAACAGGGAGAAAGGGGACATTCTGCCAGGGCACTGGTGGCCTTAGGGGATAAAAACCAGCACTGGATACGTTTCCCACTATCCAGAGAAAACGCCACCGCCAGGATAGAAGCTCTACTTCTGCTTGGGTCGACACCGTCCCCAACGACATCGCAGCTGCCTAGATAGCACCCTTTCCTTGTTTTAACCCGCAGCATAACGACCAGCCACGGGCCTAAGCTGCAACGTGAAAGGTGTTTGGATCCAGGGGGCCCATTTCTACCATAAAGCCAGAGACAGAGCAAGTGCATTCATGCCACTTAAGCTCCCCCTTTTATTTGCAGATGCCAGTTTGGAAGGGGCCTGAACAGCCTTTGAAATCATCCTGCTGTCAGGGAGCGTCTCATTCCCTTTCTGAAATGTGCCAAACAAACCCCTACCCAAGCGCTTCCATTAATCACAGTGCAATACATCTTTTAATTAAAGAGAGTCAGGAAAGACAAAAAGCAGACAGGATTTTTCCCCCTGCACTGTTAGCGATTGTTCTTCATTAAACAATAGCGGGTTTCCATTATCCAGGGTAATTCAAGAGTGCAGTAACTATTGTCAAATGCTGAAGACGCTGCCGCACAAGTCTGATTTAAAGCAGCTATTTGGGCCTCAATTATTAATGGAATTAGCATGCTGTAAGTCAGCGACAGGCACAGCCTCAGGTAAGAGCACTAAAGGAAATCATATTAGCATGGTATTTCCTCTCCTGGGGACTAGCCTTGGATTCCATTATTCACTTAGCGCTAGAATGTCAATGAAATTAAAACGCTGCCTATAATCCAATTCCAGATCAGTAGGGGCTGGGGTATTTCAGAGCTAGAGGAGAGCCCAGAAATGTCCAGGTAACCGTTCCATTCACCTCGGCCCCCGTTGGATATTTTAGACAGAATGCCACTCTAGTGAGGAACGGTGCCTGGTAGAGAGACACGGTTACTTTTCACTTTCAAAAGCTTCAGATGGTGGGAGTGCTGGACAAAGCCAGATGTTGCAGATGATGAGATGGCGGCTGTGTTCATGTCCCTCTTTCTTCTTAACCTCTTAGCCTCAGGTAAGTTTATTTGATAAGATATGTGATGTAACCCATGCCTGCAAACGCTGCATATGATTTTGTATTATATATATAATGTTACTGTATGTATACCCACACACTATGTACTCTCTTTTTATAACTGACTAGAATTCATACTACAGGGGCCATCTTGTGCTACCCCTGAAGGGACGCATTGAATAGGTGACCCCATGGTGCTGCTCCTCTCTGATAGGTCTAATTTTGTGATATAATTAAGATGAACAGGATCTTTGCAAGCATTCCTCTGACTACGAGTCTAGAAAGTGACAGTGCTTTCAAGGGGTAAGCCACCAAAGTCTCAGAGGTCTACAGTGCACTAGGACGTGCGTGGTACCGATGCACAGAAGCCTCATACTGCAGACGCACGTAGCCGCGACTATCTCCAGCACGTAACAGAGAAAAGAAAGGGTTAAAAAAGGAGTGAGTTAGTGGCTCATTTTCTATGTAACAACTGACTCATCTGGTGAAGTGAGTTTTACCCATGAAAGCTCATAACCTAAATCATTTGTTAGTCTCTGAGGTGCCACAGGACTACTAGTTGTTTGTACAGTTACAGATTAACCCGGCTGCCCCGCTGAGACTTTTTCTATGTAAAGTTCCTCAGCAGTTTTTCAGGCTGGGAGGTTTGCATGGGCCGTGTGTGACGTAGCGGGGGTGCTGTTTGCTCTGTAACCCGGTGTCCCCCTGCATTGTGATGTGTGATTCCCATTGATTCATCCACATGTTGTGATGTAGTGTCAGTTCCTTGCTGGATGCAATGCTGTGGGCTGTGGGCGACCCCTACTGGCCTCTGTCTGTGAGCAGTGCCCAGCAGGTGGGCTGCCTAGGTCACAGAGACAAAGACCCAACCGGTCAGACCGGTTGAGGGCAGCAAGGGAACTAAGGAAAGGAGTGTTGGGGGAAGGGGAGTCTTGGGCTGGAACCATGAAGGAGACAGACTAAGGAGGGGGCTAGGAATCTAAGGGACCCAGCACCCCATCTCAAGGGGGTCTGAGGCATCCTGGCCCTGACTCCTGTAACCACATCATGTCTGTGCTGTGCTGTATCCTGGAGAGGCAATAAACCTTCACTATTCTATTGGCTGGTGGAGTCTGTTCTTGCTGCTATGGGGGTGCAGGATCGAGGGGAACCCCAACGTGCCACCACACCATGTTACAATTCAGGGGAACAGACCTCTCGCTCTCACTGGCATTCATGTCTCTGAAAAGTCCCCAGGGCTTTTTATTATTTTATCATCAGTCTCCCACCAAATTGAGCCAAACCTATGCTCAAAAGGTTTTTCAGTTCTCCTTGTAAATAAGGTTGGAGTTTAATGTTATTTTAATAAAACTAAAATCTGAATGGGCGGCTTTGCTAAGGTGAGAGATACCGTTGGGTCCAGAATCCCACCTCTGTGCAAGGCTGCAAATGGGACTCACTTCAGTTTCAGTCTATAACGTTTCCAAACGTGGGGTTGGAATGCAGGCCGGTGGTGTCACCTTCGTGCATTGTCTCAAGGGTGATGAGTGGATGCAGAATCTTAGAATCGTGACTCAATGCCAGCATCCTACAATTGATCATTTTTTGTGCTGTCATTCACTCCATCGAGTAGAACTTTCCCCCTGGAATCTGCAGGGGGATTATGCCTTCTGATGTTGTTGTGCAGATTCCCTTTGAGCTTACAAGTTATACACTGCACAGGTCACATTAGAGAGAGGACCACGAAAAACACATGCCGCTGTGAACACACCAGATAATAACCACCCCTCAGAAAATCTCAAGGTGCTTTACAAATGCCTCACGATGTCAGATAATATAGCTATCGGCATGATATTGACAGGCAGATGGAGAGGTACAAGTATAGCTAGATCCATTTTACAAGGGGGAAACTGAGGCCCAAAAGCGATGAGTGACTTGTCCCAGGTTACACAGTGAAAGCAGGGCAGAGATCAGACTCAAACCCAGGTGTCTCAATGCTCTATGAAGCCAGAAGTTAGCATGTTGCAGGGAGAAGTGCTGGCCTATAGGATAGAGAAGATGCAGCGTAGGCACAGACTGGAAGAGTTCTGCAAGGACGTGACTTTGCTGTCTCTGTGGCAGAAGAGGAGTTGGCTCAGTTTCCTCCCTTCAGCGGCAGAGATCTACAGATAATTCCTTGCATTTGACTGCATGTATCAGACTGTGTCTCTCACCAGTACAAATGGAGATATCCTCCTTCCTGATTTTTATACCAGGGGTCACCTGAAAACCAGAACAATCTGTCTGGACAGGGACAGCGCGTTGGCAGCTGGTGTCGGAGTAGGTCTTGTATTTCAGTAGCGCTTCTGCTCCTGGGGTGTGCAGTGTGTGTGTGTTAGTTGGGGGTTTTGGCAGCATCCAAGTGTTTCCAGCGGCTGATCATCGTGGTTGTGAAATTATGTGACAAGACCTGCGGCATGCACTGTCCTCACTAAATCAGATGAACTTGTGGGAGGATTCACGCAGACAGGAACTGTAATTTCATGGAAATCCCATTCCAGGCAGACAGACTGAACCTACTGCACAGTGGTCCAGAGAGAGCTGATCTAAGGGCAATGAAAAAGGAGTGCATGTGTCATCCCCCAAATTCATATGGAGTGCAAGCACTGAATGCTCCCTGATTCCTGACAAGTTCCGTTTTGCAGAGTGCTGAGGACTTTGGACCAGATTGTAAAAACCAGGGCTGTGTCTACACTGGCAAGTTTTTGCGGAAAATCATCTGATTTTCTGGAAAAACTTTCCAGCTGTCTACACTGGCCGCTTGAATTTCCAGAAAAGCACTGACGATCTAATGTAAAATCATCAGTGCTTTTCCGGAAAAACTATGCTGCTCCCATTTGGGCGAAAGACTTTTTCCTGAAAGGGCCAGTGTAGACAGCATCGTTCTGTTTTCCGCAAAAAAGCCCCGATCGCGAAAATGGCGATTGGGGCTTTTTTGCGGAAAACAGCGTCTAGATTGGCCACAGACGCTTTTCCGCAAAAAGTGCTTTTCCAGAAAAGCATCCTGCCAATCTAGACGTGCTTTTCCAAAAGTGCTTTTAACGGAAAACTTTTCCGTTAAAAGCATTTCCGGGAAATCATGCCAGTGTAGAGGTAGCCCACGTGTTTAGCCCTCCTGCTAAACCAATTGAAATGAATTGGCGTTGGGCATATAAGTGCCTTTAACAATCTGCCTCTTTGGCCAGGGAATCCATGAGACTTAGGCATGTGATTTCCTTGTGCCCCTTACAGGAATGATCCTGATCTGTAGGAGAGGGCTCAGCTGCCTCCCTGCTCCATCAGAATCTTTGCTTCTTCCCTCCAGCATGCGGCGTCACATTGGAATTAGCCTCCCCTTGAACGTTGTGTGCAACTCCAAGCAATGCCACATTCACTGCAATGCAAGTTAGGAGCCTCAATATCTTCTGATCTGGGTCACAGAGCCTGAGACAGACACAGACCAGAGTGGTTAACGACAGTATCCAGAAGTGGAAGACGGAATAGAAAAGAGGCTAATTTCCAGTCTGTTTCCATTCACAAGCATCTCCCCACCCTCAATGGCCCAAAATGTTCCTAATGGTGATAAATAGCATAGATTATTGCATTATACTCCTATGCCGTGAGAAGTCCCAGAGAAAACCCTGGCTGAGCTGCTCTTGGTGGATTCTTTCTGTGTCCGTTGAGACAGTGCTGATTTGGGATTGGTCTAATGCTCATGTGAATGTCACATTAGCTCTCAGAGGAATAATGTCGTGTTAATTAATGGTCACTTACATTCTTAATCTCTCTCTGCTGTAATTAATCCTGCTCTGGCCAATTTGCTTTCAGAACCAAAACGCAATTATTTTGCAATTTATATATCCCAGAAAGCAGCCTGACCTTCTGAGTGGTTAGAACAGTGGTCTCCAAACTTTTGGAGCTGCCGGGCACCCAGGGGCGGGGCCAATCGCGTGCCCGGGGGCAGGGCTGTGCATGCGCTGCGTGCTCAGGGGCGATGACCCCATACACCGTGCATCTGGGGGTGGGGCCACCAATTTGCTGCACGCCTGGGGCCAGCACCCCCCATGTGCCATGTGTCCAGGCGCAGGGCCGCACATTCACCATGCGCCCCGGGCTGACGCCCCCCATAGCCACGGGGCCGCACATTCGCCATGCACCCGTGGCCGGTGGCCCCCATAGCCGCGCGTCCAGGAGCGGGGCCACCCATGCATGCGGGGCTGGTGCTGTGTGCCCAGGACTGGCACCGTGCATTCGCCATGTGCCCGGAGCAGGGCTGGCCCTGAGCACTTGGTGGGCACACATAAATGCCCCAGCGGGCGCCATGGCACCCACGGGCACCGCGTTGGGGACCACTGGGTTAGAAAGATTAACCAGGGGGTGTGAATCCTGGAGTTGCATTCCCTGCTTTGAAATGGATAAAAGATCATATTTACCCCCGCTTGCTGTGAAATTAGACTGTGGAACTCACTGCCTCATGATGCCTTAAAAGCAAAGAAGGGGGCAAGATTCAAAGAGAAATTGGACTATTCTGTGGATAACAAGAATGCCAAGTCAGAATTGCTTATACTAGGCTAACAAAAAAGAGTGTTGATTGGGAGAATAAAGCCCAACACATGAGGTTTTTATCTAATACATAATTATTAGGGATAAGGATGGGACTTTTATGGGGGTACAGATGATTTTACATCTATCAAACCCATTCCTTCCTTGGAAGCATCTGGTGCTGGCCATTGTTGGAATCTGGATGCTGGATTCGATGGACAAGTCTACGCTGGTCTTGCACTCTATGCTCCCTCCTCCAGGCGGGGTGGCTGATGACAGTGACTCCAGCTGGAAGAACTCAGCCCCTGGGGTTATCTTATTCTCCAGGCTCACATATGAAGCAATAGCAGCTCCTGCAGCAGAGGCTCCGTCTCATGCCACTGTCCAATAGCAAACACTTAGAAGGGCACTGCAGAGAGCTGTGTCCAGCTGGACAGGAGCGAAGGCAAGGAAAGGGAGAATGCTCAAGAAGAACGCCATTGAAATGGGCTGGACCAGACGCTTACCTGGCTCACCCCTGGCAAAGCCCTGTTGATTGCAGTAGAGCTATGGCAGCTGAGAATCTGGCCCACTATGACCCAGGCCATCTTGGGGAATGTGCTGCTTCCGTCACAGGATCTGTTGGCCTCTCAAGAAAGGATCCCAGTTCACGGCAGGTAACAAATTGGTGCAAATTGATCTCCAGGGTCCGAATGCTGGTGCTGACTTAACCAAAAAGTGGGGTCCCTGCTCAGGCAGCTGTGCTTATTTAGTGAACACAGGGAAGGCTCAGGCAGGAGTTGTCCCCTCGCCCCCAAGCCAATAGTACCTGCACAACTCGGAAAGCGGCGAGGGCCATATTACTCCAAAGAAAACAGCTGCGGGCTGCAAGTAGGGTTGCCAGATGCTCTCCCAAAAAATACCGAACACGCGGGCTAAACTTTTTTGTCAAGCAAAAAAGCAAACCAAACCAGGCGTGTCAAGATTTTGTTGAATAAATTCACACACAAGGAAAAGACTCACACTCGCACACAAAGAGAAGAAATAACTCTGATCCAAGTTATAATATCGACGGGGCGTAGATTTTACCAGCTGGCGAGCTGTGATGGGGCGGCCCGCCCCGCACTCCAACAGCGCCGACCCCATGCTGCACGGGGAGCACGGCATTCTGACAGCGGTCTGCGCCGTACAAGCAGCCGCCCAGCTGAGCGGCGTGCAGGGGGGCCAAGTCCTGGGACTGGAGCCAGAAGCGGGGGCGGGGCCGCACACGGGCGTAGGGCGGGGCCAGAACGTGCATACGTCCCTGATGTCAGGGGGAGAGGCACCGGCACAAGAGAGCGCCGCATTCAAAAGGGGAGTCGAGGAGAGCGGAAGAGAGGAGGGAGGTGGAGAAGAGCGAAAGTTGTTTCCGAAAGTCGTCATGGGCCACACAGTGAGCCCCTTCGGGCCGCATGCGGTCTGCAGGCTGTACGTTGTGCAGGCCTGTAATAGACCGATCCCCTAGCTGAGCTGGCAGGAAGCGTGAAGGGGTCTCAGCTGGGATCTTAGGCGCCGCTCTGATTCAAATGAAAACGGTGCCGAGGGGGAGGCCTTCCCGGGGCACTGAACAGGCGAGACTGCTGCGGGAGAATGAAACGCTCGTTTGGCTCGCAGCGCTGATGAGATCGAAGGTGACTCCTTCTCGGCCCAGGCCAGGGCACCGACAGTAGAGTCGTTAGCGTTTTGTTCTCCATGACATTGATAAATCATAGAAATTGCCGCCTCTGGCGGCTAGCGGCACCACATGCTTCCTAAAGGAATGGGCATGAGCAGGCCTGGCGTGCCGGGAAGAGAGATCTCATTTACAGTTTCCTGTTGGATCTCTCAGACCTTCAGCAGCTCATCAAAACCGCCATCAGAAGCACGGAGTGCTCAGGCGACGGCGCGCATGGGACACTGCAGATTAGATTTCATTCACGTGCCTGGGCAATTTGTTTCAGCCCAATGAGGTTGCGCTCCCCAAGGCCTGCCGGAGCTTGTGAGCAAACTATCGTTTTGCATTTCAGAGGGAGCACTCAGAAATCTGTCACATACAATTGCTGGTCTTCATTTCTCCCTCCCCTCCACCCGTACGGCTCAAGGACCATGGAGCCCTGTTGCAGGACAAGCTGGATTCCCCACCCCCCGTTTTTACTATGCAGACATGGATTTGGCTTTTCGGGTTAGTGCATCTGAGGGGTGTGGGTTAGGAGGGAAGGAGGAAAGATCAGACAGACAATCTCATGAGCTTCCAAATCAGATTGTTTCCTGGGTTCACTAAATTCGAGTTCACAGGAAGCTTCCTTGTCTAAATCTTGAATGAGACCCACTGACCATGGAAGGAAACGTCATTAACAAGAAACCAATCGATTACCCAAAAGTAAAAATGAAAAATGTGAACGTAGTGCCTGTGAACAGTATCAGCCTCATCCCGAGACTGGCTCTCTCCAAGCATCCACAGAGCAGGGAGAGCACAGACAGATCCAGACGCTCTCTGCCCCATGTGCTCCAGAGTGGAGCAAAAGGGACTTGCACGGGAGAGATCCGTTTGTCGGGTGCCTCTCTCTGCCCGTCACTGCACTGTTTGAACGGGGTACTTTTTGTACACTGAGAACTTCAAGCCACCCATTCCTTTCAGAAAGGCCGCCAAACAATCCTCAGGAGCCAAGGACTTTTGGCAACTACCAGCCCGATGCTAGATGCAAACCAAAGGCCTATATGTAAAGTGCTTTGTTATCCCTGTATCAGGTTCAGAGTAACTGCACCTGTATTGCCCCTCTCGGTGGTCCCTGGAGGGCACCCATTCAAAGGTTTCTGGCTCTCAGTTGTCATCTTTATTGGGCAAAGACACATCTCGCACTTCCTCCAAACTGGGGTCTTAAGGCATCACATCTTTCTGCTTCACACTCGGCTATTCCCCAGCAAGTTAGGATGCCTAAGCAGGCCAGCACCTCAGCATCACTTTTTGTCTGAGGGCTACGAACAGTGTAACACGAGAAGTTCAAGCTCAGCATTGGATTTTCCCTGGGGTCACAAATTCATCCATTTTAGAGCCAGAGCCAGAGCCAGAACACAAACTTGGCAGAGCAGCCTATTGCTTTGTACATTTTGGGCCTCAGAGCTTGGTGTTCTAGATCATGTCAGTAGAAGAACATGCCCCCCCCCCCCCAAGCTTGGAGAGGCCGGGTTTTTGCATAATCAGAGCTTGCATTAAACTCTCTTTAGAGATTCCCCAGGAAATCCACTTTCCACGCATCGTCCCATGTTGGTCCGGTATATTTCCAGCATAGTTTTTTTTGACTCCCCAGGCCTCCCTTCTATCACATCTCCCCCTACAAAGGTTACATGCCCTCCCGACCTAAAGTACGACACCAGCAAATTCAACCAGGTTCTTCTACGCATATTGCAGGAAATTCCCATCTCTGCCCCAACTCCATTCGCAGTGATTCAGCCCGTACAAAAATAAACCCAGCCTCAGCAACAACAGCAAGAGCTAACCACTTTTCCTCTTCCGCTGGCCATGTCTAATTACGCAAATTCATTTGTTTTTCAGGAAGCTCAACCAGAGATCCCCAACGGCCCAGAAATGCTACTTTGCACCGTCTGACCAGGCACCTGTTGCTGAATTACAACAAAGGAGTGAGACCTGTCAGGAACTGGTCAAAGGCCACGACCGTTTACCTTGATCTCTTTGTCCATGCAGTGCTGGATGTGGTAAACAGAACCTCAAGCTTATTTACAACTAGCGTCCTGCTGTTCATAATACAGTAGCATCCGCTGGGTGGAGACTGGAGTTGAATGGATGTCAGGGGCTGCACGTGCTGCTTTTCTGCAGAAGGAGCTGTGTGTTTATTGACAAACCACTTTGCTCCTTCCACCTTGCTCCTTTTAAATCAGAGTTCCTGGAATCTCAAAATGCTAGAAAGACATTTTTAAAAGCAGCATGGTCAATTGAATTCAGGCTGAGAAAACGTAGAAATAATCCTTTGACTCAGTGCAAGGAAGACATATTTTTAGCAATAGATTGTTTTGCTAAAGGTTGGACAGACAGACAAATACAGACTTTTGTAAATCTTCTATTTTGATCAGTTTCAGTTAGCACAGTTTTGAGAGACTGAGACCTGGGATTTACCAAATAACCTAAAAGAGTCCAGCATCTCAGTTGAATGGGATTTATCACTTGGGTGTTAGCTCTTTTAAGCTATGTTGCAAATCCCAGGTTTAAAACTTCCCCTTTTTAGTTTTGGAAACCCACATTCAAATAATGTTTTGCTAAGTACAGAGAACCAGGAAGTGACATTTTCACAAAGAGCTCAGAGCAGACGTGACCACCATGTAACGAACATTGGCCTAAGGGGTTAGGTGCTTTTGGAGACAATTGGGATTCCAGAAAATGATATAAACAGATACAGATTGGGGAGAGGTCAGAAACTTAAGCTCCAAGTGCCAGGAAATTTGGAAGGAGCAGCAAAGAATGGACAAAATGCTTCTGGCCCCTATGTGCTGAGTGTGTTACACGTCACAGTGCTAGAGGGAGAGAGCAACAGACTCTCCATGCCTTTTCGTTTAAGAAACAGCTGCTGCCAGATCAGGTCAGAGAAGCCCAATGTTTGTCTGTTACTGGGATATGACACAAAAGTCTCAAGAGAAGTCTGAGAGGGGACACGGGAGCAGTTTTCAAGTATCTAAAAGGGTGTCACAAGGAAGAGGGAGAAACATTGTTCTCCTTGGCCTCCGAGGACAGGACAAATAGCAATGAGCTTAAATTGCAGCAAGGGAGGTTTAGGAAAAACTTCCTACCTGTCAGGGCGATTAAGCACTGGAATAAATTGCCTAAGGAGGTTGTGGACTCTCCATCACTGGAGATATTGAAGAGCAGGTTGGACAGACACCTGTCAGGGATGGTCTAGACAGTATTTGGTCCTGCCATGAGGGCAGGGGACTGGACTTGATGACCCCGCAAGGTCCCTCCTGGTTCTAGTGTTCTGTGGTTCTATAATCACAGGGTCTACTGATCTTAAGTGTAGATATTCCAAGGGTACTATTAATATCATTGCAGGAATCAAACTCAACATTCACAACGTATCACGCTTCTCCCCCCTGCCCCCCGCTATTTCAGAAGCATAGCACAGGGGAAATAGCTGCAGCCACTGTGGAATGTGTATGGGTGGTCCATTGGGAATAATGTTGTTCCAGCTATGGCAATTTTCTGCAATAGCCTTGAAAGAAACTTGACTTTAAGTAAAGTGAACTGAGCAAGTCAATGACACCGTCCAACATGAAGGAAACACAAGCAGTAAAAAAAAGAGACAACAAAAATAGCCAGTGAGATTTAAATTAGACTCACAGAATTTTTTCCTTTTTAATGAACCAAAATGTTCTTAATAGCACACATCAGGGTATATTAAAATATGAATTTTCATTTTGGCAGCACAGTCAGAAGGCCTGTGCCAATCAAACTGCCTCCTCAGATAACCTGAGCTGCTTAGATATTCTGGGAGCTGCTGAAATGTATTTGAGGAGCAGGCAAGTGTATTAGCATAGGCGGGGAGTGAGGCACAGTATTAATTATATGAAATATGCTACATGAATTAACAAATAACTACACACTGTAATTGCCTCTAATATCGCAGCTATTTAATTAGTGAGATTGCATTTCAGAGCACGTAAAGATCTGAAGTTTGGGTGTAAATAAAGGGAGTGAGGGCCTCTTCTTTTCTAGAGGGGCGTAGCACATCCTCCTGCCTTTTACCTCCCCTCGTCACTGCACAAGGAGAAAATGGGACATAGCAGAGCTGGAAAATGCCTTTTGGGGTGACAGTAACTAAAAGAAAGAGGCTCTATCGGAAGCTCTAGCAGGGCTTTGCTTTTAAAGCTATTTTAACTGTAACCAGACCCTCCTAATCTTTGGTACACAGTAGGAAGTGGTGAATTACAGAGTATGCAGGCAAAGCTTTCACATTCTGAATTCATCATCTTCACCCCGTTAGATGCCAGCTCGTGGGGTTTGGGCGAAGTGATTCTACCAGACCAGGAGTGCAGTAGTACAAAGAGCCAGGGTATTCTCTGCTTTCTTGGCTGTAACAAATGCATGTTCGTGCTCTCAGATAAATCTAATCAGAGACTTGGCTTCAGAGCTAGTGTCATCAAGAAGCTGTAGGCTTTAAAGGACTTGATGCAGTAGAGACTCCAGCAGGTGCATGTACTAATAGACAAACTGTTCAGCAACCATTGTTTTGTGTGACGCGCTCTCACCCTATTTTCATCACTGCCTCTGACTTCTATTGTGATCTTTTGCCTCCTGTTTCCTGTCCATAAAAGACTAGTCTTGTCTGAGAATATCAAGTTATTATGAGTACCTTGGGGAAACCTGATTAGGGAGATAATCTCATCAATGGAGAAGAGTTCCAATTTGTTTATATTGAGTTTCGTCAATTCCGAATCCCAGATACCTTTGTATTCCACTCCATTGACTAGAGCCTCCCAGACAGACGCTGAGGCATCTGTTTCTATAGTCTGCCGAACTGGAGACAATAAATAAGCATGTGTGGGAATTATCTGTATATTTGCTAACCACCAATTTAAGTCTAAGTAGTCTCCCTCTGTTAGGAAGACTAATGAATTCCAATTCTCCAAAATATCCTTCGCTTTTAACAAGCAAGATGGAAGGTAGCTGAAAAAGAAAGAGGGAAGAGCCGTGAATAATACCACAAGCGAACCAATTACGCCAGCCAGCTGGCATTGAGAAACTTCTTGTTTCACTTGACAAAAAAGATTCAAGTTTTAGCCTCAGACATCTTTTCTCCTCCTCTCTCACCCCTGGCTCCTCCAAGACTGGGATCTCTGTGGGCCAAGGGAGGAAATCTAGCAGGAAGTGCAGGATAGCTGTCAACAAACAGCTTTTTTCGGTGAGAAAAAAAAAAAAAGGGAAGAGACACAGTGCTGATGGCACCATTGCTGAACCCCATGAAGGCATGCTCAAGGACTATATGCATTAGTGGGGGAGCTGGAAGGAGTGAACCCGCAAATCCAGATGCTGGGGTGATCCAGATGCTTCACAGTTGGTAGGCCTATGATCCTGCAGTTTGATCATTTTGGTTTAAGATGTAATCAAAGGATTTATGAGGATCGAAGGCAGTGTTCCCTCTAATCTTTTCCATCCATGTGAAGATATTTTCCATCTCTGCATGGAATAATTTATGTGCACCAAGCCATGTGTGAATGTGCACCACCCATACAAACAGAAAACCTAGCTGGGAATGCTCCGCTAATCAGCTGGGAGGCATTTGAATCTCAACAAGCGTCCAGCTTATAGGGAACACTAGTTGAAAGTGCATTAAAAGTCATTCTCTGCAACAAAAATCAATATCTTCAAGTCAAGTCAATTGTAGGGGGCCGGTCTCTTTGCTGTCCACTCGGCGGAACTGACAAACTTTAGCCGAGTCCCTCTCTTGTCCAAATCTGGAACTGGCCTGGCATCTATTCTGCACAAGTCTAGCATTGTAAACCATAAGCGGCAACTCGATCAGGTGAACGAAACGGCAGCCTGCTCTCCCCTAGGTGAAGGTTGTCTATGCTGGAATTCACCTTTTACAGCTCATGAATGTTCATGGGATCATAGATGTGTATGGGAAAAAACCTGTTAGATCATTACTTAGGCAGGCAAATGAGAGCCTCCAGAACAGGACATATTGGGTATTGAGCCGTTACAAAGGAGCTTAGGGAAGTGGCCAAACAAAAGGGAGCTTGTCTGATACATCATTTTTTAATTTTGCATGTGTGCACCAAGTCCTGTCTGGGATATTGAAGCACGTCTCCCCTTAAAGGGGGAAAGAGGTCATTTGTATTCCATGCAAAGGTGTTTGAATAGGCCAGTGTTTCTCAATCTTTTTTTAAAATCAAGTATCCTCTTTAAAAAAAATAAATAAATGATACATACCCCCAGTACCTACAGTTTTCAGACACACACTTTTTTTTCTACCATTTCAACACATCTGTGTAAACAACTTAATCGTAGCCGGGCGGGCGATGAAATTTGTGGGTGTAAAAGAACAAAAATAATAGAGCTGTAAAACTTAAAACAAAAATTCAGTTTTCTCCAAATTACAGTTGTTCTGATGTACCCCACAGACTTCTCTCGAGTACCCCAAGGGTACTCGTACCACTGGTTGAGAAACACTGGACTAGGCCACGCTTGTTTCTTCTCAATGCAATTGCTTGTGTGATGATCCAGGGATTCTGGAAGGTGTGTTGCCATTCCTTTATTTGTCTCCAGTGATTTCCTACACCACCTTTTCCAGGAAAAGCTTGATCCCCTTTCCAAATGGCACGAATATACAAATTCCAAGCTCCCAGTCCGCATCTTCTCTCATTCCACCAAGATGGGAGTCACACTTCCTTAACAACTAGTTTCTTTATTCCAAATCTATTTTGGGAGAAGTTTCCTACCCTGTATTCCACAGGAGCCTTCTTTCTACAACTTGTGCTTCTGCTTCATCCTGAGATACTTGTCGTTCGAGAAAACTTTTTTTCCTCAAGAATTAATACAGCATCGATCCTACAGTTACATATCTGCGAGTAATGCAGCATCACTGCTCACATTCCCAAGCTTTAAGCGTATATTTAGAGGTCTCAGGATTCTACCACAGTACAAACAAGAGCCAAAGAGGAAAAAGAAAATATGTTGAATGATTCCAAAGGCAGGCAATTTCTATATGCCATAAAAATACACCTAGTTTGAGGTCACACGTTCTGTTTTATGCAGGAAAATCCACACAGACAAAGATGTAACACAGCAGCAGCTGAGGCAACACCTTCTGAAAAATTATGACTATTCTGATTAAATACAAACTCAGCTTCATATTTTTAGCCCTGAATTTGCTGAGAATATGGTATTATGCTTAGCTGCCTGATTAATGGCACAGTAACTAATTAGGGTGCAAGAGCAACTGATGATTCATTTAGAGTGTCAAGTGCAGCCAAAGTGCTGTTTTATCAAAGATAATTTACTGCAGTGAGGATTGCACTGTCAGAGAAATCACAAATGGGAGCTGAAGGCAGGCATGAGGCCAGGTGATGGCCAAACAGACTTCAGGATCCTTCTACATTGCCTGGTTTTATCAAAGAGAAATGTAAAGGGATGCCATCACATTGAAATCTTGTCAGTTTCAAATGAATGAAAAAACTTAGAAAACTAACATAGAAAACTACCCCTCTGAAATGATCAAATAAATGAGTTGAAAGTCTTCCCTGATTGGCTGGTCTGGTGGTTTTACAAGCACACTTGCTGTTGTATCTTTAGCTCTTCACACAACAAAAGCAACAGGTAAGAGTCACGGGAGCACAGCTGAATCCCAAAGAAAGGTGTTTACAAAATGTACACAAATTTGTATACACAGGGCTCATGCTATTTTCCTATCTCATCAATGCGCTTCGATCCCATGTTACTGCATGAAAGCCCCACACAAAGCACAGGAGACGCTCACTCGCTCAAGTCCCATTCTTGCAAACTGCTGCTACCAGGCACATCACTTACAACAGTGAGTAGTCCTGGAAAAGCCAATGTGACTCTCCTCTGTAGCAGATATTACAGCTGGGAGCAGGTAATTGCAGGATCTACCTGATTATAGAGGGGACATTTTTGAAACTGAGAATATACAAAGAGTGGGAGAGATTTTTCAAAAGCACCTAATGGATTTCAGTGTAAAACCCCAATGACTCTCTATGGGACGAATGTACCAAACACTACACTAAAGAAATAATGGATAATATTTAGCTAATTTCTTTCATGTAGAGCAACCTTAGATGTTATGTGTAATACCAACAGGAACAGCAGAGCCTGCTTGTTTTGAGAGCAGTGTGATTTTTAAGTTGGCTTGTCTCTTTACCATTCATTAAGTCAGTTGTGTAGTTCATTAAACATTTGATTTTATTTCACCCCCCTACAGGATACACAGAATCAAAAGCTAACAACAAGCATTTGGTTTCGGCAGGTAAGTGAATACTTCCTGTTCCAACTACATGTGATGTTAAAGCAGATAGAGAACTTAATTGCCCTATAGCATTTACTATACATTGTTTGCTTTCTGACTCAGTTAATATTGTAATGATCAGTGCAGAGTGCACCTTCACCCAAAGGCAGCACAAAATTGTTGACCCTGAAATGAATAAAAAGCGGGGGGAGAGGAAAGGGGGAGAGGAAGGGATGTTCTTTTCACATTTGAATCCCCTCTGGACACAGGCAGTTCTCAGAGAATGCAGGCTCTAAGAAATGCATTTTCTGAGCCACGAATAAGATGGGGATGGTAGAGCGGAGGAAAGTGGCTGATTGTACAGATCCTGGCAACAGGCAAAACGGCCACGTTCCGATGACAATATCCACTCTACACACCTATAAAATTCTATCCCGGAGAAAGCAAAGTAGGATTCGCTTGCTAGCCTGAGCCTCTCTTTCTTGGCCATTAGCTCAGGTGATCAAGCAATGATCACATTCCCAATATAGGGATATTCTCTGGACCAACCGTCCCCTAAATCATGAAACCAAATGGTTCAAGATTCACCAAGGCACCTCCATTAACCCACCCTGCCAAGTCACAATATGGGAAACCACCTGGGGAATCACGCTCTCCATTCTCCCTCCCACAGACCTGGAAGGATGAATATCTTACCTGGAATTCCAGCCTCTATGACGGTATCAGGGAGATTTCCCTGCCACTCAGCACCATCTGGTCTCCGGATATCATCATCAATGAATTGTGAGTTTGGACCGAGTCGGAGTTTTACTGCACTCCAATAGGTTGGGGTGGGTTCCGGGTTTCTTTTTGGCTGATCAGTGCAAGCCGTGCCGCTGCCCACAGCAAGACCAAAAACCTCCATGTGAAAGAACAGACCGCTGCTTGTTTCTGATGGCTCTGGACTCGCTGTCTGAAAGCTTGGCAGGTGCTGGATTAATAGTCTCAGGTGTAAGGCATTTAGCCTCTCTGCAGCCTGGCACTTCCTCCTTCTGAGCCTTGTAAATTGAGTGCCACAGGTATTCTTCGCCAGATACATCCCTGGTCCCCACAACAGTAGCTGGATGGCTTCATCCTCGCAGTATCCATGGTAACAAGGCAGGGCACTGCTATTATGTCCATTCAACAGATGGGAAACTGAGGGGCAGAGAGACTAAGTAATGTTACTAAGGTCATCCAGATGGAGCAGGGATTTGAACCTAGGGATTTTACTAAGCCCCTGGTCATTGGACCATCCTTACACCTGTAGTATCACATGAGAGTTCAGACACTTGCGTTCCTGCTCATTGAGGGTACATCTGCACTATGGGATGAAGTTGAATTAAAATACACAATTTCAGCTACGTTAATTGTGTAGCTGAAGTCAAAGTAGTTCAACTCGGCTTTTGGCGCTGTCCACAATAAAAAAGCCCTTAGCATTTTCCATGTCCTCACAGGGTCTTAGCCAAAGATCAGCTCCACCCCAACCATGCAAGCCGGAGTCCCTGGTTCCCCTGCTGCGACACTGTGGGAGTAGTTTGCAGAGTGCTTTATGGGAGGGTGGAGGCGGGAGCAATGCACAGATGCGGACGTTGGTCCACGTTTTTGAAAAGGAACATTTTGGGGGCCCCTACCTAAGGTGCTCTGAAGAGACCTGATTTTTAGAAAGTGTTCAGCACCTCCCCGTCCAACCCCCAGCAAGCAGGCCTCTCAGGGAGGCCACACAAATCACTGGCCACTTTGGAAAGTCTTGGCCACTATTCTTCAAGCGTCAATGCCTCGCTGTCTGTACCTACGTAACAAAGGCCTCGTGTCTCCTGCCCCCGTCCCTGTGCGACAAACCTACCTCTCCTGCCCAGGGTGGATGTCAACAGGTCTCCCGATCTCCCCTACGTTTACCTGAATGCTGCTGGGTTGATCAAGAACCACAAGCCCGTGCAGGTGGTGTCCGCGTGCCATTTGGAGACGTACGCCTTTCCCTTCGACGCCCAGAACTGCAGCCTGACCTTCAGCAGTATCCTGCACACAGGTGGGCAGGCCAGGCCTCGGCCGAGCAAAGGAGCATGTGCAAGGACTGGCTCCCACACGCAAGAGCCAGCCAGCCTCCTATGGACAGTGAGGGTTATTTTCCTGGGAAGCACAGCTGGGGAGTGGGAAGAGCAACGCGACTAGCCTGGGTTGCAGGACGTAGCTCAGCATTGCCCAGGGAGGTGCCCTATGGATTGCACCCGTAGGTCCCCAATGCCGCTTTGCTCTTGTACTAGCAGGGTAGCCAGCTCCATCTCATGCTGGACGTTGCCTCTGCTCGGGCTCCCCTAGCAATAAAAGACCAGCCTGGCTGAGAAGAGACCCACCGCAATGGCCACAGTCAAGATCCTGCAGCCCGGTGGGGTGGAAAAGTGAGTTGAGAGGGGAGGGGTCTGCTAGGGATCCAGTTAGTCCAAGTCGTGTTCATTCTGCACAGCAATCCCTGCGTGGATGGGGCTGGCGCCATTTGCTGGGACCCTCGAGGAGGCCAGCGAAGCTTCTTCCTCAGCCCAGTGGCCACAAGCAGCTTGTGGAGGAAATGGGGTGAGAACATTCTCTGTTCCCAGGCCCTCCCTGTCCCTGACTGCCAGCCCTTTGCTCGTGTCATTCTCAGTGGAGGACGTGGACCTCGCCTTCTGGAGAAGCCGCGAGGACATTCAGAACGACCAGACCCTGTTCCTGGAGGACGGCGAGTGGGAGCTGCTGTCAGTGCCCTCACATCCCTGGGTCCTGCACACGGAGATGGGACGTTTCGCCCAGATTCAGTTTAATGTAGGTTTCCGCTATTTCTCCTTTGCCTCTAATCTTTCCTCTTGGCACCTTCCATCTCCCCTCCTTCGATTTGCTTCCTCTGAACGATTTGCGCTGGGCCTCGGAGTCTTGGAGTCCATCATGAGCACATGGGCTTCGCTGTGCCGCACGTTCTCACCACCACTGGGAAGTGGGCGGCTACCACGCAGAGGGTAAACGCAGATGAGGGCAGGAGCAAGGGAGACACCAGGGGGTTATGCTGTAAAATACCCCAGTACCTGCATTGAGGATGAGGTAGACAAGAGAGGCACCACCAGCTGCATGCTGGGAACATCCCCGGTTGGTTACCACATGATCCGACCCAAGAGAAGGGCTCTTGGAGATCAACCCCCATTGGTCTTCTCCCATTGGGCAGGGTGGGGAGGCCTAAGTGGAACAGACAGATACAGGGCATCATCGTTTCTAGCCCCCAGTGAAGAGGTGCCGAGAGTACCAGGGCATTGTGGGAAGTGCTTTGTATTCATGCCCATAAGCGTGAAAGAAGCTATTTGCATATATATTTGCATGTACATGCAACCACACTTAAGTTGCGGCCCTTGGCATGTGCTGTGAGTATCATTTTGGCCCCCAGGGACTTCCAAAGTTGAGTACCCCTGCCCTACACCTTAAACAGTGTGCTTGAGCAGAGCCACCCATAGGATTTCTGGGACCCTACGTGGTACTATGAAGCAGTACTATTAAACCGGTGCTCTTCTGCCCAATGGCAGTTGGAGGGGATGGTGATTTTTGTAGAGATGTGGTTTTATAATCTTCACCCCACACACTAATGAAACAGTTTTAAAGCAAATTTTAAACTAAGGTCCTGTAGACCAACACTAACCGTATAGACCTGGGGTTGGCTATGCCTGTTAAATGGCTTCAGTACCACTTGAATGGCGCTGTCGCAGGGTCTGTGTTCTGCTCCTAGGTCTGGCAGGCTCTTCATTTTTAAATGAACTGGCTCTCTGGAGGAAGCAGAGCCACAGAACGGGGCTGGGAAGAGGCGGGAGAGAGGGCGTTAGGACCCAGCGGTGCCCCAAATTTTCTGGTGCCCTGCACAGCTGCATATTCTGCATATGGATAAGGATGGCCCTGTGCTTGGGCAAGACGGGACACTCAATAGGTTCCTCCGGGTAGGACCTCCATGGGCAGGACTGCCGGGGTGTTTGAAGCCATATGCTGCTCCCTGTTTTTGCCAGAGCGCTTGAGTGGCATCATGAACCCAACAGTAGCCTAGGAGCCTGCAGACCCCACTGCCTGGCCTGCAGAGCATCACGCCTGCACACAGGGATTTAGGGTGCCAGCTGCGAAGGCGGTCAGCGTGTAGCGCAGGACGGATCAGCCAGCGCTGACACTGAACCGGGCTGCAGCCGGTGGTCTCCTCCCTCTGTCCCCGTCACACCAGCATGGACACTTGCTGTCCATCTGTTTCCCGTGTGATGCAGCACCTACATTCCAAGCAGCAGCATTTAGGAGACAGCCAGTGGCTCCCATCTCCTCGCTGGAGAAGGCTGGAGGGTAGAGGGGAAGCAGCTAATTTGTCCACACCGCGTGCTGGAGGACGAAAATGTGTTGCTGTTTTGATGAGCTTCTTGACTAAGAGTTAAACACCTCATTAATTTTAAAGCTAGCAGCCTGCAAACATTATTAATGCTGGTGCGAATAATGAAGCGCATTTAAAGGGAAAAGTACGAAGGGTGAGCTGCGGATCTGGCTCGCAGCTGAAATACGCACCCGTTCGGTGGAAGCTGGAAATTCCACAGTCGGGGCTTCAGGAAACCGGAGGCTTATCAGACAGCTGGGGTCTCGTGGACTGCTGCCCAGCCCCCACCAGGTTCCAATAGGCCCCCTTGCTAATCACCATACGCTCAGTCCCTCCCCCTGCCTTTCATACCCCAGAGCCAAGCACAAACCGGGTGGTTTCTGAGACCTGGCACAAAGGAACCCGGGAACAGTGACTGAGTGCAGGGCCAAGATGCAGAATATTTTACCAGATTTCAGTGCAGTCATTTGCAATTTACCCACGTGTCCCTCCGATCAGGCCCACTAGGGCTAACTTTAATGCACACTCAGAACCCTTACCTGGCTGGTCAGTGCTTCATAAGAATGGCCCGCCAGTCGAGGGAGAACCCAACCTGTGCTAGGGAAAAGGGCCTCCTTTTTCGTGAACAAGAAAATTGACGGGAAGTGGCTTTTTCAAACACGTAGCTGAATTTTCCCGTGTTTTCTAGTACCATGTTCAAGATGTCTATAAAACCCAGCCCCCTTCCAGGAACAAGATTTCTGGGTTTTAATCCGAACCCTAAAGTGTTTCAAGTGTCTGGTTCCGAGCTGTGGTTGAAAAACTGGCAGTGTTCCATGGGGAAAGGAAGAGGTTTCATCTGTTTGCATTTCTGCAAAAAGCCATTCGCAGGCGCACCCGGTACTGCCTTGAGCAGCAGTGGCAGCTGGAGCCTTTCTGGTGGCTCAGATTGGTGCAGAGAGGAGACTTTGGAGTGTGTTTGCCTTGGAAATCCAGTGCCTGCCCTGGGGCTGAATGTTACGTTGCACTAGAGCTCAGGCACCTGTTCTTAAGTGACCGAATTACTTGCCTACCTGCTGTATGATGTAAGCAGTCCTCACTGGAGCTGCCTTCTTTCCTGCCCCTGTACCTACAGTATAGACGCTGTTCGGCCCCAGCCGAATGTAGGTGCTCCCTTGGCACTTGCCCCTGGGACATGCCGGGTACAATGCAGGCCTCAGGCCATGTTTGGCGCCGGGGCTGCTTTCAGCTGGAGGACCCCACAAGCAGATGCTTGTCATGACCAGTATGCCAGTGCTGAGCCTGGGACCCATTCCTCTGAGCCCTGGGGGCGGCAGACAAACACCGGGGTCCTGGACAGCAGGAAAGTAAGTGGACTAGAGAGTGACAGACTCAGGGATGTGCTGTAGGAAGCTGGGGGTTGATGGGGTGTATTGCACTGGCAGGTCGGTATTGCCCTCCCATTCCCCCAAGGGCAAACCAAAGGAGCTGTGCCCCCAAGTCACTCACCAAGGGGGCCTCTGGGCATTGAGCCTGCGTACTGAGCTGGAAAACATCACAAGTCAGCCCTGCATGACTGGACCAGATTTTGGGCCAGTGTCACCTGACTGCCGCAGAAGCCCAGGCAAGAGAACATTGCAACTTTCCCATCTGCAAGAGAAATCGCAGCCTGTGCGGCTGAGGCGTGTGTGGTGGGGGAGGGAGGACGTACCAAACTTAGCGGCAAACCTGTGTCTGGGTGTCAATCTCCACCGGCGCCATAAAGACAGTCATGCAAAATTAAGTGCCGGTGGGGTCTGCTATCACGGAGACAATTCATGCCTAACCCTGGGTAATATTCCATCTCCAATGTGCGGCGGCTGTACATGCTCGGAATGAGATTGATCTTCTTCATTACCAGCAATGGGCTGCAAATACCTTTGTGTACTTATTATTACCTGGCGTTAATGGATAATGAAATTGTGGCATAATATTGCTAACACCTGAAGGGTGTCTAATGGAGAACACGACTGAAACGAAAGTGCTTTCCTCCCGGTGCTGGAGAATTTAAAGGCATCAACTTCTGTCGCCTGTTAGAGAGGATGGGGTTTGGCTGGTGTAAGATTTGCAGAGTGACTCCAGCTGAGGTCCACTCAGTGCCCGCCCTACCTGCCTAGCCAAGAGGAGGCGACCCTCTGTGGACGCCTGCTAGCTCAGTGGGAAGAACGGGGGGTCTAGGCACCATCCGGCTCTTAAGACACAGAATGCAGCCACAGGGAATCCCATGTCTGGCTGGGAGCTCCATGGACTAGCTACGTCTGCCCTGGTGTCTGGCTATCAGAGCCAGGGCAGTGAAGTTGGGAGAAGCTGGTTGTATTGTGCCGCACGTGAACCTGGGTGCAGGACCCAGCCAGTTACAGATGCTTCTCCCATGGAACTCCTGCAAGGCGCCTGCTTCTCCTTCCCCCTGCCAAGAAGGGTGAGATCTCACATGGCAGCATGCCACACAGGGCCAACACTTTGCTCTTCAAGAGCACCACGTTGAGGCACATGGCACCACTGGCCAGACAGGGGCAATTGCATTGGTGCTGCTCAAGACACGGACTCTCACAAGTGGAAAGAAGGAACAGGTTACCCGGCCTAATTTCCTCACCTCTGCATCTCAGTTTGACATTCTGAGCGGAAACGATTCTCACTAAAACTAGGACTGTCAATTGATGTGCGTTAACGCCTGCAATCAACGCAGGGAAGGATTAACACGTTAATTTTGTTAACATGTTAATCGCAGGCATTAATGCTGCTCTGCCCCTTTGAAGCGCTGCTCCAGTGCTTCAAAGGGGCAGTGCATTAGGAGCCCGGGATCAGCTGGAGTCCTCTGCTGACCCCAGGCTCCATGCAGTGCTGCCCCTTTGAAGTGCCGGTCTGGCACTTCAAAGGGGCAGCGCAACATGGAGCCAGGGATCAGCTGGGCACTCCAGCTGATCCCCGGCTTCGCTTGTCCTGCCCTTTTGAAGTGCCGCAGCATTTAAAAGGGGCAGTGCACGCAATTAATGGCGATTAATTTTTTTAATCGCTTGATAGCCCTACTAAAAACGCTTCTCTGTCTTGCAGCAGTTTCTTGTGGAAATTGTTTTCTCATCATCTGCTTTGAGACCGGTGGGGTTTGATTAAAAAAATTTCAGATCCATCATGGCGATGGCACGACTCAAACCAAGCCCATGTGGATAGATTTGTAGATGATCACTGGACCCAGAACTTACCACTCCACCCCCTAGAAAACTCACGAAGGACCCAGTTACAAAGCCGTGAAATGGAGTCTCAAAAATGTCATGCCTAGTGGGAGAGAGAGACAGTAAAATGTATGGCTTTGGGTTTTCATTAAAAGCTCACAGGACCCCAAACATTGTTGCATGGCACAGCTGATTGTGCTTCCGCATTTGAAGCCCAGACTAGATGAATTCTCCAGGCTACTGGCTTTGCAGCAGGAAGGTTTGCACAGCTGTACCCAGGATGAATGGCAAGGAGGGTTAGCATCATTACTGAGTCACAAACATGGCAAAAGCAACTACTCTTTATTCCAACGTCTGTCTGAATCTGCAAAGCCCAGAGGCAACGGGACCACATGGAGAGAGATGTGAACAAGCCTCCCCAAAGCTTTTGCCAGCCTCCAAAACCTTCCGGGTGTGCGAGGAGAAAATTCAAGCTGGTTGGGAATTCACAAAAGGTTTGGCCATGTCTCTCTCTGGCACAGTAACATTCCCCCACCCCTGCTCCACCCTGCATCCACAGAATAGCCTCCCCAGCACCGCATCTTCAAAGACGCTAAAAATCCCGCACCCCGTTGTTTTCAGGCCAGGCCTAGAATTAGCACTGACTTCTCTTCTCCGCTCTAGGTTGTTATCCGAAGGCGACCCCTGCTCTATGTGGTCAGTTTGCTGATCCCCAGCCTGTTCCTGATGCTCATTGACCTGGCCAGCTTCTTCCTGCCACCCAACTGCGGCACCAGGATAACCTTCAAGACCAGCGTGCTGGTTGGCTATACGGTCTTCAAAGTCAACATGTCAGACCAGCTGCCGGTCACCGCAGCCAGCACTCCCCTGATTGGTGAGCTGGGTCCGGCCAGGGCCGTGACGGTTGGGACTCTCTTCTATGGGAACACGTGAGGCTGTTCATCTGCAAACACCAGAGGTCAGAGATGAGGAAGAGCCACGAGTTTCTCCTACTCAGACTCCAGATGAGGTTTAAAATGGGCAGACTTGGGCACTATTAAAACAGCTGCTCTAGGGAGACACTCCCGGGATCTGTTCACTCTCCTTGCAGGGAAGTGTTGAGTGACGTTCCTCCAGCTCTCCCCTGCTGAGTAGGAGCCTTATTCTGACCTAGCAGGGCCTGTCTTGAGCAGCCGTCATTGGTGCCAGTACTCTGCATTAGGGCACACCCTGATTTGACGAGCACATCCTCGGGCAACAGACCTCTGGGGAAAGAACAGTGCTGCAGATCCCCTGCATGCACTGCAAACCCTACCACCACCATTATCCTGCCTGGCTCTGCTAGCCGCTCAGCCGCTGGGGCTACCGCCCTCACCCTGGGTGTCTCACATTTCCAGCCCAGCGTGGGCTGGATGTGTATTTCTCAAGCACTGTGCGAGTCAGAGCCAGGTTGATGTAGGTTACGAAGGGCAGTGATTTTTTTTTTAAACCCAGTGGATGCAAACCTTGGTGACACTGCTTGAAAACACATCAAAGCCCCAGGGCGGGCAGAGCTTCAGCACGCAGCCGCACTATAACCGGGAGCGGTGGTCGCACCATGTGAGGACGTACCCGCGCTAGCTCCGACCGAGCTGGGAAGCTGCGGCAGCAGAGTAGCCCCACACAAACAAATGACTCTAAGTCCATGCTTGAGTGGCCAGCCCACGCTGCCACCATGGTTCCCCGACTGTTGCTCCTTGAGTTAGCTGTGCCCGAGCTAGATCAAACCTCGCTTGGGTCTAGCTACACGTTCAGGCGCCCCCGCCCCATGTCTGCAGTGGAGACACCCCGCGGGAGACGGTTTCAGGTATTGCAGTTTCGTGTCCCACTCAGTAACGTCCCTTTCTCTTCCCTCGTCGCCTCAGGCGTGTTCTTCACAGTCTGCATGGCCCTCTTGGTTCTCAGCCTGTCCAAGTCCATCCTGCTGGTAAAGTTCCTTCATCTGGGGGAAGACCCTGTGCGGGAAAAGCTCTTCTCCAGATGCAGGGTGGGCAGTGCCGTAGACGGAGGCATCCCTGGAGAGAGCGCCCAGGCTCCCAGGCTGCAAGCCACGGGCGACAGTGCAGGTACAGGCCAGGCTGGGTTTTCTGGGCACCCCGGGCACATCTGAACTGCAGCCTGGTGGAACATGCTTTGCTGTCATTGCAGGCTGCTCGTGGCCTGGGGAAAAGGCGGAAGGGACCGGAGAGGAGCCTCGGAAGGCGATGATGTCCCAGAAGGCCACAATGGAGAAGATCCTGGCAGAGCTCCTCTGGATTGGCTCCCAGCTCCGTGCACTGGAAGGGGCCAGCCAGCTGGAAGTCCAGTGGCTCAGGCTGTGCTACCGGCTGGACAGACTGCTGTTCTGGGTGTACGTCCTGACCCTGGGGGTGTATGCCGTCACACTCTGCTCCCTGTGGGTGGTCTGGAGTTCCCAGTGATGGCACCGGGGCTAACACCAGGGATGCAGGTACAATCAATGCAGGGGGGAACCCTCTGGGCTCACGGGGCCAGGGAATGGAACATGGAGTGTCCATCTCTTGGGCTCCATATCCAGGTCAGAGGGACTAGCTGGCCCCCTGGGGGGAGGGGGGGGTGCAGGCCTTTTCACCGGTAAGGCAGCATGTCTGATCTAGAGCAGGCTGATCTTTACCTGCTGCTAGCGATGACGTGTCGCCTTCCACCTCGCCCTCCAGGAGGCCTTCCCCCCCCTGCCGATCTGCAGAGAGTTTGGTCTCCGAGCTCATCTCTCCAGCACCTTCCCTCCAGAATTAAAATTCACAACGAAACAAAACACAGAAGCCCCACAAAGAGCCGTTACCTGCCGCGGTCTCTCGCCGCTCATTACCGCCGCGCTAATGCTGAGCGCCAATTGCCCATGAAATGCTTCCACTGCTATTAAGGAAATGAAGAACATCAGACAGATTGTGAGCCACCCCCACCCAGCCCCTTCCACTAGTGGGAGCAACCTCTCTCGTCCTGATCTTCCCTACTTTCCGCTGGGAGGCGCTTCCCCAGACTGTGCGCACCCAGATGCCTGCAGAGTTTCCTCTGTTCCCAACAGCTGGCTGAGACATTCCGGCTTCCACAGTCGAGCAGGTGGGATGCACTCAGTCAGCTCTCACCTATACCCAGAACTGCAGGTACTTCCCAGCCTCTGCCCCCCCTCCCACCCCTCCGGACACCATGGGACCTCTTGCTTTCTGCATGTGTGGAAACACTTTTAGTGGTGAGCTCTGCGTTACACAGGGCTGAGTGGCATAACCCAGTGTTTCTCAACCAGTGGTATGAGTACCCTTCGGCTACATCTAGACTGCAAGCCTCTTTCGAAAGAGGCTTTTTTGAAAGTATCTTTCGAAAAAGCCCCTTTTGAAAAAGAATGTCTAGACTACAACCACTACTTTCAAACAAGCAAGCCGCTTTTTCGAAAGAGCACCCGGGCAGTCTGGATGATCTCTTTCGAAAAAGCACAGTTTGCATTACATAGCGCCTTTTTTCAAAAGAGAACTTTCGAAAAAAGGCATCCTTCCTCGTAAAAAGAGATTTTCCGCGGTCAAAAAAAGACATTTACTTTCAAAAGAACACAGCAGCAGTCTAGATGCAGGGGAAGTTTTTTTTGAAAAAAGGCCACTTTTTTCGAAAGAACCCTGTAGTCTAGACTCTACACACACCCTTCGGGTACTCGAGAGAAGTCGGGGGGGAGGGGGTAGGTATGTCAACACAGCTGAAATTTGGAGAAAACTGAATTTTTGTTTTAAGTTTTAAGCATTTTATTATTTTTGTACTTTTTACACCCAAAAACGTCATCACCTGCCCAGCTACAATTTTCTTTAAACAAATGTGTTGCAACGGTAGAAAAAAAATGGTGGGTCTGAAAACTGTAGGTACTGGGGGTACTTATAATTTTTTTTAAAAAAGGGGTACTTTATAAAAAAAGGTTGAGAAACACTGGCATAACCAACAGCCCATAGGCACAGATCTGACAAAACACATCAAGACATGCTTAAGTCCATGCACAGCCAGCCAAATGCTTAAGCACGTCAGTGTTCAGAGCAACTGGAACTGGAAGCCAGAACTGCTGGGTTCTAGTCTCAGCTCTGTCATCGAGTGGCTCCTGGCAAGTCACTTAAACCTCTCTGTTGCGTGATGTATTGCTCTGTTAGATGGAGCCAAAATCTGCCTGCTTCACAAGGCAGGGGAGCATTTGCAATGCAGCTGGAGCTCCCCAGGTGAAAGGCCTTGTAGGAGGGCCAAATATCCTTGCAAACTCTCTTTGAATTAAAGGCCAGGAACAGGAAACGTCACCTCACAGTGCTCAACCCTTCCTAGCACCCAACGCACAACCCGTCTGCCCTGTTGCTGGCCTCTGAGGCCGAGTTACCATCTCCATGCAAAAGTGGCGAGGAGTCCTGTGGCACCTTATAGACTAACAGAAGTATTGGAGCATAAGCTTTCATGAGCAAAGACCCACTTCGTCAGATGCATGCATCTGACGAAGTGGGTCTTTGCTCATGAAAGCTTATGCTCCAATACTTCTGTTAGTCTATAAGGTGCCACAGGACTCCTTGTCGCTTTTGCAGATCCAGACTAACACGGCGACCCCTCTGATACCATCTCTATGCCGACAGCAAAGGCTTTTATCCAGTACAAGCAATGCTCTGGCTGGTTTGTGATAAGCCATTCCTCCTCAGCATTACGCCAGTGTCTGCTTCCCCTCCTTCCACCCACACAGGTCCATGTCCACTCGTGGAAAGACATCACCTGTCCACATTCTGATTCAGGGCCTGTGGGCAGAGAGCTTTCCATTGCTAACAAATATGACCCTGTCAAAGTGAGTCCATTTAAAGTGGAGCTTTCCCCATTTCTGCAACTATCCGAGCGCCCCCGTGGCAATCAGTTATCAGAGAGCTCTCCAAAGGAGATTGAACAGAAGGCAGGGTGGAGTAGACACCCTCTAACGCCAAAGTCAGGTTGTGTGCATTACATCAAGCACCATTTCAGAACACTTTTTTTTTTACAGTAACACACTTACAATTGTCCCCTCCAAGCAGCCCAGCACTTTGCGCTGCTGCTAATTAATTAACTAACGAAACACAGTAAAATGGTGGAAAAGCCCCATCTTCCCTCCTATGGTGATGCTTGCCCTGGCTGGTTATTTATTGCTCCAGTTTAATTTTATTATAGAGATCAGAAGACAATTTGCAGCTGTTTTCTTATCACTCTAGTAAAATCTTGTTTTCAGAATGCTGCTGATATATATATATATTCGGGTCCATTATGCCTCTCACAATCACATGCCCTCATGAAAATGAATAAAGCCAATGAAAATCACAGTTGGAAGAGACTGATTTGTTTACTTCCTCATCCCCAATGGGATCTTTTGTTAGCCTTTGGTCATCATCATTACAGTCAAGCACTTTTGTGTAGAAGGCAACAGACACTCTCTTGAGATGTGTATCCATAAGGGGAATCCAGTTTATTTGGGTTCTGCAAACATCACATTATCAAGCTCCTACTGATCCCCCACTGCCTTGGCTGGGCCAGATCAAAGATTATTGAAATGAACTTCCCTTGTGTGCATGCACTTTGTGCAACAGAACATACACATGATTAGTTCAGTTGCAGTTGAAATCAGGCTTATGAATTATGAGACACGCCATCTGCTTAGAGATCACATGCTGGTAAGAGGTGCATTGCTTTTAGAATATTAAAAATAAATGTACAGTCAAAACATCCAAATGACATGGCAGCCTTTATACAGTGATTGTCCAAATAGAGAGAAATGCAAACAGTGGGAACGTCCACCAGTGCTGACAGTCACTTTCCCTAACGGCTTCTCAGCACTGTCGGGGTTGAAGCTAAGTGTTCATTTGTTTAGAAACGACTGTTCTAGTTGGCTTGGTTCATGGAAATGCATTCATTTCTTAGTGCATTCAGCATAAAAAGGCTTTTTAAAAACATTTTGGGGCCCAGTTTGAAAGGGATGTCCTTATGCCTCAGAAGTGCCATTGAGGAATAGACATCAGGAGCAGAAAAACCCCTGGGATTTGGAAAGATGCCACCCTTAATGGAATACAAAACCTTTTGTCCCCCTGTGCCATCTCCAAGCTCACCAGTTCTCATCCCTCGGTCCTTGGATTCATGCGTCAGCTGTTTCTCTCTGGTACCCCAGGAATCTAAAGGGTTCCAGATTGTGGTTCACTCCATTAAACTCCACGAGGCTTCTCACAGCATAAGGCCTGATAGAAACTGATTGACGGTATCGTTATCTTGCCCTTAGTGATGAGCCCTGATGGCTACGTGGCAGTTAGGAGCAGGCCTCCCAGCAGTGGCATGGAGCCGCACAGCAAGGCCAGCAGCGTGGGCCAGCTGACAGTACAGTCCCTCCTGACCCTCTGGGTGCAGGCTCGGGGGGTTAGGCTGAGCTGCTGTCTGGGCTGCCTGGGCTACCCTGTTATTTTTAGTGCTCTCCTTTGAGCAGGCCTAGCTCCTGGCTGTCTATGGACGCAGGCTCTCGGCCGCGCCGAGTTGCTCCCTACCGGACACATGCACCAGATGCAGCAGTCTGCCTCCCATCTAGCTTGCTTCCAGTTATGAGCCTGGGATTTGGGTCACTGTGGGGTTAGTGGCTGTGATGTCGTGTCGGTACCTTGCCGGTTGCTGTGCTTGGGCTGTGGAGGACCCCTATGGCCTCTGTCTGTGAGCACTGCCCAGCAGCGGGCGTCTTGAGGGCCCCCATGACAGTGACGGAACCGGTTCTATCGGCCAAGGGAAGGGATGGAACGAAAGAAGGGAGTGTTGGGGGAAGGGGCAGTTGCTGGCGGGAAAGATGAAGGGAACAGGCTAAGCTGAGGGGTTAGGGGTGATGGACCCCTAACCCAAGGGGTCTGAGGCATCCTGGCCCTGACTCCTGTAACCCCATCACGTCTGTGCTGGGTTGTATCCTGGAGAAGCAGTAAACCCTCTCCGTTCTACTGGCTGGCGGAGTCTGTTCTTGTTGCAGACGGGGCGCAGGAGTGGGGGGACCCCCAACTCGTCATCAAAGTGGCACACAGGCTGGAGAGGTGTGTGTGGGGGGTGGGGGTCCACTGGCCACTCCAGCTGAGCTATTCGCCTGCCAGGTTGGTGCACATGTTTGACAAGATTGGGAACCACTGTTCAGTCTCTGGGCTGCACGGTTCTCGTTTGCAATGGGCGGACAGAATGCTCCTGGCTCCATGGGCAGGTTCCCAGCTGCTTCGGGGTCTTTCCTTTGCCCCTTCGCAGCAGGTTGCTTCTGCCACGGTGCAGCAAACAGCTTCTCACCCTCGTTCTCTCGCCCCCATGGGCCGATCCCTTTGCTCAGACTGTGATGGAGGAGGAGACCAACACGCAAGTCCTGGGGGCTGGCTGGACCAGGCACCCGGGGATGGGAGATGATACATTTTATCACATCCAGCCCTCCCAGGTACTGACCCAAGCTCCTACTTTCCAACGGGTGGCT